AACAGAAATTACACATATTTTTACACGCATTGCAGTAGGAGAGGATTATCTGGGGGTATCACTGATGTTCATTATTATTTTAAATTTATGGCAGTTTTTAGATTTACCACTGAATACTGATAGTTGTTATTATGTTAAGAAGTGCATTATGTCCCAGTGTTACAAAGTTGTTAATAACACACTTATGACTGTTTTAATATAACTGGTTTCCTCTGTAATCTTGCATTTTACTTTTTGCATTATTTGTAAAGCACTGCTCTGAAAAAGTTTCAATATTTCACCACACTACAAAATATCCACAGCACAAAACTCCTGACTGTATATCTATTTGCAAGAATCTGTGCTTAACCTCAGATGAGGTCAATATCACAATGTCTACAATCTAGGAACGGAAAAAGTAAACTATTTATTCATCAAAAGTACATACTGTATACAGTCACCTAAGTAGTTTATACCCACAAAGTAGAAGAAACTTGACTGACAAGACTTTCCATTTAACCTTACAATATATAATTGAATAACACACAGAATACTTTCTTTGAAAACAGGAAAAAGTAGGTGGCTATTAATGAAAATATTGTTATAATTTTTTTCCTCTTGAAGAAAAATGTCTGTAAACCATACTGAAAGTCCACATTTTAGTGAATTTTGGCTTACAGTAGATAGTAAATAGGCGTAACCTCATGGTATGCACGAGTAAAAAAGGGTCCCTGTTATTACTCCAACAACTGAAGAATCCTTTCTTCAACAGGTAGATGATATTAATGCTGCCATACTACAGTTGAGGAATTAGGGATTAAAAAACTGTTCACTAATAAAACTTCTCAAAAGACAACAACTAGTAAGCTATGGAGATGCGATATAAAGTCCACCACTAACACAGAGTTTTGTGGAACTTTGAGAATCTCATGAAGGTTACAAACCTTTTTCCCAGGTGGGATTCCAGTCAGACAGCAGGCAAAGCAAGGCAGGTTCTGGCACTGATTCCACTGTTTTACTTCTAAATGATGATTTTCCATATAACATACTATAATCACACAATGAATGATCTCCCTCTAGTTACCCACTTTTAAATTCTAAGTCAAATATTTTATTAATGGGTCCCACATAATGTGAAGGTACTTAGAAGAAAGAGGGACGTAATATGGTAGCAAAATAAATGATGTCCTTTTCAGTTGCCACTGATGTCTCATTTGCATACCAGCCTTTGGTATCAAGGGTGAGATAAGCACATAAATTAGGAATTTTTTTTTTTTGGTAGTGCTGGGGATTAAATCTAGGGCCTTGCATGTAAAGCAAGCACTCTGCCTCTAAGCTACATTCCCAGCCTCTTAGGACAAGAGCAGCCCAAACACCTAGGACATAAGGTCATCATACATATGGGGGAAGAGGAACAGAAATGAGGTGGTCTCTATTTTACACATCCAAAACTGGGCATAAAAGGATGAAAATGGCTGATTTTCTTTTACACTGTGTTGGAGGATCACTGTACGGGGAGTATAATAAACTACCCTGAACCAGAAGTAGTGTCTAGTTACCCTCCCTCTGGTATTAGATGCAGTGGGAAAACACTGCTGACCCTTTTCTTCTTCTGTCTAAGGAAACTCTTTCCCCTCTTGCTAGCATTTATGTAGCAGCAATCTGCTCCTCAACTCCTCTGTCCCTCTAGCCCTCCATATTCACATGGAAATACCACTTGGACACCGAGTATCTTTTCTTTTCTTTTTATTTTTTGTGGTACTGGGGATTGAGCCCATAGTCTTTGAAGTGCGCTGTATCTCCACCCCTTTTTCTTTTATATTTTGAGACACAATCTCACCAAGCTTCTTCCTCTGGGCTTAAATTTAGGATTCTCTTGCTTCAGCTTTCCAGAATGCTGGTATTACAGATGTGCACCACGATACCTAGCACATCCAGAGTATCTCAAATGGTTGTTTGTAGCAAAATTACTCACCCACCGATTCCAATGACAAATGCTTTCATAATTTGCTTTGAAAATCACGTCTTCCTAGTATTTCCTAGAATTTAAAAAAATGAACATGTATCATTTGGCTATCTAGGGAGGTAAGAAAGTAACCTTGAATTAGCAGCAGTAGTAAAGTGAGGACGATGACAGGCAGTGGCTTGGCTACCCCAGCCCACATTTCCTACAGGTGGGAGAGCTTCAGGCCTCCTGGCTTCTGGCTGACAGATTATTGCGCAGTGACCACAGCTGATTGGTGCTCAGCGCCTGTCAAACAACAAGGAGAGAACTGACACCTTTGGGTCTCTGTTTCCAGGCACAGCAGGGTCTAGGGTTTCAGAAGCTTTCTGGTCAGGACCCTCTCACCTGTAGATTTAGTCACCAGGTGACAGTTTTCCCAGAGGGAGGGAGGCCTCAGAGATAGTTTCTTTTCTCCCCTCCAGAAAGAGGAAGCACATCACTGCTAGCTGGAGGGAAACATAAGCCAATGTCCTTTTATAGCACTGTTTCCTAACTTTACAGCCTAGGTCTACGGGCTGGTCAGGCAAATTGTTTTGGAAACGGACCAGCTAGTAAATATTTGAGGCTATTTGGGCTAATGAGTCAAATCTGCGTTATTACATTGGGACTTACACAACAAAGGAAACAGCAAGTTTTCAGAAAAATTTTTATGACACTTAAGATAATCATAATTGAGTGCTTTCACTTGGGCGGGTAATACAAGACTGCTCATGACGGGAATGGAATTTCTCTTTAATTGGAACATTTCCTTTACCTCGTTTCTAAGCTAACATTCTCTTGTGAAACTGCCAGGGTCAGGCAGGTAGGTAGGTGGCCAGACTTAAGCCACAGGCTGTTTTGTCGACCCTTGGTCTAGAGGTTGCAGGGCATTTCATCCTGGCCGCTCGGCTTCACTGAAGTGTCCCTTGGACTTATCAGCTTACCCAGAACACGGAATCCTAAATTCAAGCCCAGCCTGAGAAACTTGGTATGCAGCTGAGGTTTTCATTAGCAGCCTGTGGGAAACAACATTTCAAGAGTGACTGTGATCAAAGCAAACCAGCAGGAGTTGGATATTTGAGTTTCACCTGGAGTTGCACTGTTGATTATGTACCTCCATGGAAATGTGGATCAAGGGAACAACTGCATTCAATGAATACTGTAAAATAAGTGTTTATGTATTTTTTTCTGCTTTTGAATTTTATTTTGTTTTGCTTTTGACAGTCCCTTTTTGGGTAGGGATCGCCTGCCCTTTATCTTGAGATGGCATCTATTTTCCACTTTGTAGTGATAAATAAGCTTTCTCTCATGAAATCCTGTCATCACTAGATGGTAGTAGATTGGTGCCCTCACTTAGCAAATTTTAAAAAACTGAAAAATTTTATCATTCCTTGTTCCCATATCACTTAATTTTGGATAGTTTGTTGGAGCAAAAACTCAAACGCTCAGAAAAATATAGCCTTGGTCCACTTGGGCCACCCTTTTTTTTTGCAGAGGTGGAAACTGACCCCGATTGGATGACAAGCTCAGGGTCAGACAGCTAGTGACTGGAAAAGCCAGGAATGAACTAAATCAACGAAGTTAGCATCCTTTCCATCATTCCAAGCTGCTACAAACACCTTATTACCAAGAGCATAGAAAAGGCTCTGCACATGCACTAGCTTAACTGCAAGCTTGGATGTATAATTGATGCCATTCCTATTGATACATTATTGATGGGGCATTGTATCTGCTGTGTACACCGAATGGAAAGTACTACCAGTTCCCCGTCCTAACTGTGACATCTGTGCACACACGAGGAGGATGCAGCAGTTTCCCAGCATGCAAATAACGAGTGAGTGCACTTGCAGCTCTGCTGTGGCAGTGTAAGGGAGACATTCTTGGAAACTCTAGCAATTTAGAAACCAGGAGTGAGAGGAGTCAAGAATCTACTTAAAAAATTCTTGGGGCAAGAAGGGGAGTGGCCTGGCATGGTGGCGCTGGCCTGCAATCCCAGCACTTGGCAGGCTGAGGCAGGAGGATCTTGGGACTTCAAGGCCAGCCTGGGCTACAAAGTGAGTTCAAGTCCAGCCTGAACTGCATCGCGAGGCCCTATCTCAAAAAGACCACCCCCGCAAAAAAAAAAAAGGGGTGTAAACTATAGCAAAACCAGGTTTTTAACAAAGCAGGTACCCCCTAGTTCCAGGCCTGTCCAGTGAAGTCAGGCATCTGCTTAGGGATGAGCAGATGACAAAGTAAGAATGGGGAACTGGGTTGGGCAGAGAAAACGCAGGAAACTGGGCTGAGTGGTGAGGGTACGGAAGAGTGGGCCTATAACTCCCTGAAACCATCTATTTCAAAAACAGTGAGGGGTTCATAGCGCCGCCTCAACAGAACTCCAAGTTCAGGCCTGGCCTGAACTCCTCCACATCACATTTTGCTCCTTCTTTAAAAACTATTTAAAAACCAAATTTAAAGTTTGCAATCAGGGTGCTCTTGATTGTACTAGGACAACGTGCCACCTCCAATCTCAGAGAACATTTATGTAGTTTATTTTCCCACAGCAGTGAGTATTTGCATGGGGGGGGGGCGGGCAAACTGGGAAAAACAACAGCAAACCCAAAATGAGTCATTTCAATATGTTCATACTTCTGTTTTTTCACTAGGTACCACGTTGACTCTTTTTTCTATAATTGGTAACTTTACGTTTAATCCAATTCACTACTATCTCTTGGATTTTTAACCACAAAATTATTCCACAGGGCATGTAGTAAGTCAGCCCTTTGTAAGGAAAATAATAATTCCTTAACAGAGCAATAGTCTGAAAGATGACAAGTGCGAACAAAACGTGCCTTCCAGATGTGTTTGAAGGGCGGTGTGCTCTTTTAAAAAGAGTGAAACGTTTTCAGGACTTCTCACTCATTTTAGTCAACAGATATTTTCCACTATTCTTTCACCAAACAAGGCAGTTTCTCCTACTTGTTTAAACTTTGCTCACTTTTAGTAAACATGGAAATAGTCCAATGATGGAGTTTCTACAAACGTAATCCATGCCCTTTCCCAGTTAGAATTTCTTTTTAGCAGAAAATCTGAAGCTTCGTTCTATGCAGGCTCTTACATAACAGTTTTTCCCCCCAAATATTCATTAGCTGTATAACACTGACTCTGCCATTCGAACTGCCCTTCAGTGTCCCCGTACACTCGATCTGCTAGGTCAGAGTCGGACGAGATTTTTTTTACAAAGTGCCACACAGGAAAAGCTCCCGGCTTTGCGGGTATGTAGCACGGTGGAAGCGAGAGGGCGGCCGCAGACAGCCCATAGGTCGACCGGCATGGCCGTGCAATCCCAACTTCACACAATTTTCACGTGCCACAGAATAGTACTTCTTAAAAATAATTTGTCATTGGTTTCCTTCTCAGACACCAAAAAGCTCAAGAAGCATTGGACGAGGCCGCAGAGGAGCCGCAGTCCGCAGTCCGTCCGCCCCGCCGAGGGTTTGCAGCCGGGCGCCGAAGCCTCTCACGCCGCGGCCCCGAGTCGCACCGCGTCTCAGACGCACCGAGGGCGAGGACCCCGGACACCTGCGGCCGCACCGCGGCGACGCGGGCCGGCGGGGACTCACCTGGCGCCGGGTGCAGGCCTCCTCCTCACCGGCCGTAGGGCCCCGGCCGCACCTTCCCCCGCACCGTGCGGACCTTAGAGAACCAGGCGCCGGCGGCCTCGGGGAAAATCCTTCCCAGGCCGCCGCACACTGCGCCCGCGACGGCCCCGACTCGGGGCGGGGCGGGGCGCCGCTCAGGGCTTCGCGTGCCCGCGCACG